GGGGGATGGCGGAGCCACGGAAAAAGTGCCCCGGCGCTGGGCGTGGGGCCGGGCTCCGGCCGGGGTAAACGTGCGCCGAGGGAAAGAACGAGTCAAACAAGTCCAGTGTTTGCCCTGCGAGGGGGCGGGTCGCAGAGCGCTGGCTCTCCCCTCCAGATCCAGTGGGAGTGGCAGGGTCTCTATGCGCTAGGGAAGGAGACCCCCGTGCGTGTGCCCGTGCAGTTGTGGGCAGCCCTGCGGCCGGGAGCCGGGTGTCGCTCCGCAGAGTCAGGAGAACTTGGGTCACATTTGGATTGGCCAGGACACACGATAGCTTAAACCGGTTTTTGATACATTAAGGTTATTCTGGATTCAGCTTTTAGAGGACATTGATGTGAACTTACAACTGCCCCATTAGCTGATAAAGCCTGCCAGGAAAAGGTCACCCACAGAGAAAATGTAAATGATGGGAGGGATGCCTCACACACCTGCATTTGGTCATCTGGCCACAGGATTTTGAGCCTGTTCTGAGGCAGGTTTACTGTATCACCTAGCTCAGGCCTCTATTCTGGGACAAAGCAAGTGACATCAGGACAGGGATTATAGCCAGGGCACCTGAGCTCTGCAGCTGACTCTGCATCCATAGTTTAATTTTTCAACACACAACGTGTTGCTCCTATCCAGAAGCCGTTTACCTACACTTGAGCTGCACTCCAGGAAATGTGTTAAGCTGCAGAGCGCTGGCAAATCTCAATCCCTTCTCACCTTAGCCAAGGAAGTGCCTAAGAGAGTTTCAGTCATCTAATGCCTCACCTTGAGCAGTCCACAGGGACACCTGCAACCTGTGAAAGGCAGCAGGAGGGTTACCAGGGCAGGGACCGTTGCTGCAGAACCTGCTGAATGCTTCCAGTGGTAACTTCAGTGGCACCACATGCAGGAGTGTACTCAGAACAAACCAACCTGTTAGATCACACGGTGGGGCTAGCACTGCTGCCTTTTGCCCTGCTCTACTATTCCCAGTGATGCTTAAGTGGGATGAAGAAATCAGAATTTTAGAATTATTTGAGGTGACATTTCTGTTGTAGTTGGATATTGCAGGAGCATTTACCCTGAGCCCAGTACAAGCATCTTTTTCTCATGTTTTGGTTTCTTTCTGCCAGCTCATTTGCACTTAGAATTTTTCTGCCTCCCACTCCCTTTTCCTTGTTTATTGACGTTTCTGTTGCTCTTTGACTTGCTAAACCACCATGTTTAATATCCCTGCTCCTGTGTACAAACTAACTGAATTGGAAAACTGCATCACAAAAACATCTGTACATTTGAAGCCATGATTTAGTGCCTGGATAAAGCAAATAAAGTTGGCTTTATATTTCTGTAAAAGATTACAGAAGAGCAAAGGTCTAGGTCATAATTTGATTGCGGAAATCTATAATCAAGTGAAAGAAAGCAAACTCAACACTAATAATTTTCCATATGTTGCCTGTTTGCACAGAGTGTAATAAGGTACAAATGACCTGGAAAGCACTGGGGAGTGCCTGTGCCTAACACACCTACAGCAAACGTTGCACTGGGAGTTAACTTGCCTGAGCAGCACCCGCCGATGGTATCCCGGATTTGTCAGAGTCATGTGAAGCATGAGCAAAGACACTCCTGTTCTTGCACAACTGCCTGGGATCATTGGTAGCTGCTATTAAGCACCACAAGCAGCATTAAGGAGAGATGTCAGCCACTGGCATCACTGCTGCTACTGAAGGGCCTTGGTGGGAGAACCTCAGCTCGTGCTGCGTTGAACTTGAGTTGCAGGGAACTGAAACTTGTCCTAGTACTTGACATCCTGTCAACTGACCAGGGATATGGGGAAATACTTCAGGTGTGGTCATGTTTAGGCTCCATGCATGAAAAAAAATTGAGAAATAACCCTGGAGAGATGGCAAATATGCTTTTTTTTTTTTTTTTTTGAGTGTTTAACACTTGAACTGCAATCCTAGAAGGATTTACACATTGCGTCAAACTGGGGAGATGTTTTAGGTTGGCCATTAGGAAAAACTTATTCACTGAAAGGGTTATCAAGCAAAAGTGATTGAATCACATCCCTGGATGTGTTTAGAAATGGTGTAGATATTGTAGATATGGTGCTTAGGGACATGTGGACTTGGTAGAGTTTGGTTAAAGATTGGATTTGATAGATTTAAAGGTCTTTTCCATCATAAATGATTCTGTGGTTCCATGTTGAATGCAGCAGAATTTAATTTAAAGTGAAAGTAATTCTGTCCCAATTCTCAGGTGAAGTTATCTCCTGCATGCTCAGCTCCACCTGGATGTTGTCCCTGCCTCCTAGGGAGTACCAGTGAAGGCTGTCAGGACTGTGCAGACACCCTCACCCTAATCCACCCTCTGGCTCTCAGCGGGCGAGGCCAAGGCCAAGGTGCTCAGGAGGGAGTGGGGACAGAGTCTGTTTGGTTTGCTCCCAGGGCAATATTGTCTGCCTCCCCCTGTAGCATCATTCAGGTTGTCACACTGGCCAGACAAAAGAAATTTCTTGAATTACTGGTGCTGATCATGTGCTTGTGGACCAGATCCCTCTTCCAGACAGGGCCCTGGCCCTGCCCTGTGAGCAGCCTCCGTTCATTCGGTAGGAGGCAGGGCTGGGACCTCAGGGGTGCTGCAGCAGCACTCAGCAGGGCTGGCTGAGGGCTGCTCTTAGTCCTCGGGGAAAAGGGGCAGTCACTTAACCAGCCTCACTAGCTGGTAAGGGTGGGTATATTCTGTTAATTATTTGCTAGAACACTGACACTCCCTCTCTGTTTTATTACAGTTTCCTAACTGGCTGGGGACTCGGACAGTAACTGACTGAGCAGGAGAGCCATGGTGAGTGTGCATGTTCTCTGTGCCGTGCTGTGCCAAGCGTTTGTCTGATCAGATGGCAGTGGGGAGTAGCTCAGATATGGGTACAGCAGGAAGAAGACTGTCCTTGTCTGTCCCTTTGGGGGGGGGGACGTTATCACTTCTCTGCTTCCTCGTACTAGAGGAGAATGATCAACAGATAGAGGCTTTTCCGGTTGGGGAGTTGATGGAAAATCCAATCAGATATTGGTTCAAATAGCATTAATGTCTCCAGATAAACTTGCTGGGCCTATTATTCTTTCCAGGTTCAACTCACAAGGTAGCCATCTGTGTGGTAGTGATCCCTGCATCGCTCACAAAGTTCATCGCTGCCTGGCTGATGATTTTCATGAGAACAGGGGGAGCCTTGTAAGAGGCAGTGTAGTCCCACAGAAATGGTGTAGTCCCAAAAAAAGGGTCCTTTACCTGGTGTGCAAAGCCACCAGAGTTGATATTTTTGCTTTATTTTGGTTCTGCAGAAATGGATGGTAGCTGATACATCACAAATCCAGCCCCTGTGAGCTCAAGCAGCAGCAGTTTATCTATGATACAAATAACAAATTACATGTGATTGGTGACAGGATCTCACATCACATCAGTCCTTGTGTGCATGCTCCATCAGTTCTGGAATTCATGATACTAAGGTGGTCCTACATTTACATTTAAATTCTCCTCCCAGAGGTGTGGTTTTTAGTACTAAAGTGACCACTGGTTGTGTCAGGGACACCTCAATGTTTTGATCTTTGTCCAAATCTGTCTCTGGTGTATGTAAAGAAGCCAGAATGAGGCATTATCCACAAAAGCTGATGAAGTTTTACTGGTTTTAGATACTTCTCTGTTGTGTCTTGTTTCAGATTATTTTAACCTTCAAGGTCATTTGATCCTTTAGTCTTAAGGCCCTTCCACTCTTGCTGGCCTGCTTTCAGACTGGTTCATTATATGCTTGTTCAGCCTAAAAGTGTTTAACTGTCCTTCTGACATGAGTAGCACTGGACAGGAGGCAGGAGAAACCTCTCTGAGTAAAACACTGCACTGCTGGTGCCCTGTTCTCCAGAACGATGGCATGCTACTCCACGTGTAGTTACATGAAGATATTTTTTCCTTTTACTTGTGTCCCTGTGGCTTATTTCTAAGCTGCTCTAGAACAAACTGTTTCTCTTTAGGGTGGGATGGGAGACTGGCATAGAATTGTTTGGGTTGGAAGAGACCATCATCAAGTCCAAGCATTAATCTCACTCTCCCAAGTCCACTGCCAAACCATGTCCCTAAGAAATGACTCGTGTTTGGTGGGTGGGCTTTACTTGCTGATACTGTGTCTGCATCTTTTTAATGTGTGGGTTTTTTTTAATTCAACTTCACTGTATGTATTACTTTGAGTCTACCTTTCCTAACTCCTCTCTTGTGGGTTTAGGCAACAATCAAGGGAGTCTCAAGCTTCAGTGCTGAGCAAGAAGCACAGGCACTAAGGAAGGCTATGAAGGGATTTGGTGAGTTGGGCTCCCTCTACTGTTACACCCTCTTTTTCTTCCCTCTGAGCATTAGGAAAGTTTTGTCTGGTACTTTGTTGGAGGAGAAGTCCAGCCATTTGCATCATCCCACTGCCCTGTGAGGGCACTGAGAAGAATGGAGCCTGATCAGGCTGAGACTGGAACCCAACTGGAAATCCAGGTCTTTGCCACAAAAACATTCTTAGTGAGGTTCTTACCTTGCCTTTCCTGCCGTGCTGCTGGTGGGGTTGAGGCATTTCTGTACACTGATCTAGTCCCCAGTGCTGGTGAGAACTGGGTTGCATAAGGAACAGAAGAAGCTGAGAACCGGGTTGTGTAAGGAACAGAAGATGGCTAATGGCACACGCTGGACAGGACCAGAGCATGCATCTGGTTTTTGTGCAAGCAGCCTGACTGGTTTCCATTGATTTCTTCCAGGCACAGATGAAGATGCCATCATTGAGGTCTTGACCAAACTAAACGTTTCCCAGCGTCAGCAAGTTCTGATCACCTACAAAAGCACTATTGGCAGGGTAGGTGATCTTCAGAGATTCATCACTGGGGCTTTAACTGGGACATGCAGGCAGTTTGTGGGTATGTATCACTCAGGTGAAATGTGAACAACAGCCTGGTCTCCACAACAGCAAGGGCAGCACAAGCTTTCCCTGGCTAAGTTTATGCATGGTCTTGCTCACTTCAGAGCAACTGTTCATCCAAGGATGGTCGGAGCATGGAGAAAAGTGGTGACTGAGATCTCTGTTCTCAAAGACTGTATGCTGTATCTTCTCCTAACTCTTTTCTCTGTCCTCTAGGATTTGATTGATGACTTGAAGTCTGAGCTGAGTGGGAATTTTGAAAGGGTGATCGTTGGTATGATGACTCCTACCACCATGTACGATGTGCATGAGCTGAGGAGGGCTATGAAGGTTTGGAAATCTTCCTCTTATGTTGCTTAAGCTTTGGTCCATTTAGTATGACATGGCATAATTATGCCTTTACTATTAATTTTTTATTATTCACTTATATATAATTTTAAAAAGTAATCCTCCTTGCACACCCCAGCAGTTTCCATCCTAACCTTGGCTCTGCTTGGCCGTTCCCAGGGGGCAGGGACAGATGAAGGGTGCCTCATTGAGATCCTGGCGTCCCGCACCAACGAGGAGATTCGGCGCATTAATGAGAACTACAAACTCCGTACGTGGTGCAGAGCACAGCCCTTGGCAGGCTCCCTGGAAAGCCACCTCGGGGGGGGTGTGGGCACGTGAAGAGGAAGGAAAAGGGTCTGTTAGCCTGTGATGGGACAAATTGGCCGATACAACCGTTGCCATTTGCCCAGAGTTAAGTTCTGAGTTAAAGAGGTGTTCCCAGCAGGAGTGCTGAGAGCCTCAGGGACTGGAATTTCACCCAGAAGTTTAACTGGTGTAAATAAAATGGCATGAGGGGGTTACATCTGTCAGTGGGATGTCTGTCCATGTGGGGATCTTTTGCCAGTTTTATACTGCCTGTGCTTCTTAACTTTGCCCTGTAGCACTAAATGTGATGGCTGGACTGCTATGATGATAGCCAAGAAGGCCACCAGCATCCTGGCCATCCAGCACTAGTGTGACCAGCAAGAGCAGGGCAGGGACTGTCCCCCTGGACTCAGCACTGGAGAGGCCACCCCTTGAATCCTGGGATCAGTTTTGGGCTGCTCCCTCCAAGTAGGACCTTGAGGGGCGGGAGTGTGGCCAGAGATGGGCAACGAAGCTGGGGAAGGGTCTAGAGCCCGAGTCTTGGGAGGAGCAGCTGAGGGACCTGGGGTTGAACCTGAATCAAAGGAGCCTTAGGGGAGACCACCTGGCTCTCAGCAACTCCCTGACAGGAGGTTGGAGCCAGATTGGGCTCTTCTCCCAAGGAACAAGGGACAGGACAAGAGGAAATGGCCTCAAGCTGCCCCAGGGGAGGTTTCAGTTGTCCCTGAGGAACAATTTCTTGCCCTGGAGGGTTGCCCAGGGCTGTGCCAGGCTGCCCAGGGCAGAGGTGGAGTCCCCACCCCTGGAGGGGTTCCCAAGCCGTGGAGATGTGGGGTGAGGGACACGGGGCAGTGGGGACCTGGCAGTGCTGGGGGAATGGTTGGATCTGATGATTGCAAAGGTCTCTTCCAACCAAAACAATTCTGTGTAGAGCCCTGAGCACAGTTACCTGCTTACCTGGCTTAGAGCTGGCAAATGCTGTGGGCAGTGTGCAGGTGGTGGAGCTGTTGCTAACAGGTGTCCTTTGTGTGTGCTCTCTAGAGTATGGCCGTGCCCTGGAGGAGGACATTGTCTCTGACACCTCTTCCATGTTTCGAAGAGTCCTCGTATCCCTCGCCACGGTGAGTCCAGGCTGAGGGGTGGGGGCAGCAGCCTGCTGATGATGGACACGCCGCTCAACATCAGTGATGAGGAGTCTCAGGCTGGCTTTTATTTCAGTTATCTGGCATTCCACCTCAGCTGGGTGTCACACCCAGCTTCTGCAGGGAGAGGATTCCAGCTCTGGGCACACATGAGTGTCATGTGCTCTTTTTCAAGTGGCCCAGCTAAAGTGGATTGCTGCTCCTTTCAGAAGGATTTGCAAATCATATCTGAGCCATGTTTCACTGTATTTGTAAGCTACTGCCCAGTTTTAAGGGTCCCAGTACCCATTTGCAGGACTTGCTTCCATTAATTGCTCTGGTGAACTGAGCTTTTCGTCCTTGTATCTCTGCAGGGCAACAGAGATGAGGGAACATATGTGGATGCTGCCCTTGCTCAACAAGATGCTCAGGTGTGTAGGGATTTGCTTCTGTGCAAAAATTGTCTGTTCTTGTACATGTGATGTGTGGTCAATCCTTGCTTTTTCTAGACCTCATATTTTTTCAAGGTAGAACAGTAAACCTGAAGCTCTGCTAAACAGCAGTGCCCTAAGTGGAGACCTGGGCTATAGTCCCAGTTTGGGCCCTTACAGAAGCCTCTTCACTGTCCTAACTCAGGTGGTGAAATGAGGATGATAGTTCTGGCCTCCTTCACAGCTCTGGGATGAGATGGCTCCAGACAGGCTGGGAATTTGGAAAGGGTGATGACAGTTGAGAGTTGCTCTGCTTGGCCAGCAGTGCCGAAGCCCCAAGGAGGTAAAAATCATACCTTACATACACCTCACCTTCTCAAGTAGCCTCATTTTTTTTCATTCATAATGTCTTCAAGTGCCTGTATGAAGCTGGGGAGAAGAGATGGGGAACAGATGAGGTCCAATTCATGGCCATCCTCTGTACACGGAACAGATATCACCTGCTAAGAGGTAGGACCCTCTGCAATCTCCTGCATTTTTTCCTTGTTTAAGGACAATACTTTTGTGGGAGCTTTGTACTTGTTCATTAACTGATCCTGAACTCCTCCTGAGACAGCAGGTATCCTAGAGCCCAGCTGCGTTCAGTTCTTTAAGACAGTTTTATTTCCTTCTGAGACAAAAAGGGACTTGAGAAAAACATCAGTACAACTTGCTTCAGCCTGTGAATTTAGAGATGATGAAGTGTGACTCCCATGGGGGCAGAGCTAAGCGTTTAAACTGCCATCATTAACTGTCAGTTGTTGAAAACATTACCAGTAATGGTAGGCCAATTAGCAAGACAGTTGATAATGAAAGTTAATTATTTCTGTGGGGTGGCCCTGATTTAGCTTACAATGTCACAGTGGTGGTACCATGGTCACATGGAGTGTGAGGAGCTTGATCTTGCCAAGTGATCCTTGGTGGTTCACAGGCTGTGTGCCCTGAGGCGTCTCACTTGTTCATCCTGGGTCTTTCTCCTAGTTTTTGATGCCTACAGAGAGATTGCTAACAAGGACATCACAGACAGCATTAAGTCCGAGATGTCGGGAGACCTCGAGGATGCTCTGCTGGCTGTGGGTGAGTGCCCTGCTTTAAAGCTTTTTCTACAAAGCAATTAAATAATTAGAGATATTGTATTGTGCCCTGACTGCCCGATTCCATCACTTTAGGGGCAACATACTGTTTGTCTTTTTTTCAAGCTACAGAATTTTACTCTTTGCAGCTAGAATGGGGTGGGAAGGTCCGTGGTTTATGGTACTGTTCACTTTCCCACGGGACAATTCAGCAGTTGACTTTTGCTGTCGAAGCAATAAAGCCTTAAAAAAAGTTTGCTGTGCAGTGAGCATGGAGACGTCAGTTCAGAAGAAGCCACTGACTGGGGATGCCTGCGCTGTGCTCGCCGTTTGTTGGCCCTGAACTGCATCTTTACAGAGTAAACACCTTTGCTGGGAAAGTGCTGTGAAGGTTTGGAAGATCTTCACAGTTTTTATTGACCTTAATTCTCTTGTTCTTCTCTCCCTTACAGTAAAGTGCATGCGAAATAAACCTGCATACTTTGCTGAAAGATTATACAAATCCATGAAGGTAAAGAGCTTTTGCTGTGAGGTTGCTGTTCTCTCCGCCTTGCCCTTCCACGCTCAAGTCAGAAACATGACAGTCGAGTGTCTGCAGAGGGACATGGCCAGGCTGTCATCCATGGGCTGAGGCCAGTGGGATGAGGTTCAACCAGGCCAAGGGCCAGGACCTGCCCCTGGGTCACAACAACCCCCTGCAGGGCTCCAGGCTGGGGCAGAGGGGCTGGAAAGTGCCCAGCAGAAAACGACCTGGAGGTGCTGGTCAGCAGCTGGCTGGAGAGAAACCAGCCCATGCCCAGGTGGTCCAGAAGGCCACCAGCATCCTGGCTTGAGTCAGCACTAGTGTGGCCAGCAGGACCAGGGCAGGGACTGTCCCCCAGGACTGGGCACTGGGGAGGCTGCCCCTTGAATCCTGGGGTCAGTTTTGGGCCACTCCCTCCAAGCAGGACCTTGAGGGGCTGGAGCGTGGGCAGAGAAGGGCAATGAAGCTGCTGGGGAAGGGTCTAGAGGCCAAGTGTGGTGAGGAGCAGCTGAGGGAGCTGGGGGTGCTGAGCCTGGAGAAGAGGAGGTTCAGGGGAGATCTCCTCACTCTTGACTCTTCTTGAAAGGAGATTGGAGCCAGGTAGGGGCTGGTCTCTTCTCCCAAGGAACAAGCAACAGAATGAGAGGAACCAACCTCACGTTGCACCAGGGGAGGTTCAGGTTGGACCTGATGATCAATGTCTTCCCTGAAGGGGCTGTGAAAGCCTGTCCCAACCTGCCCAGGGCAGTGGTGGAGTTCCCATGCCTGGAGGGTCTCAAAGCCATAGAGGTGTGGTGGTGAGGGACATGGGTTTGTGGTGGACAACCGGGCAGTGCTGGGTTAATGGTTGGACTTGATAATCATAAAGGTCTCTTCCAACCAGAATGAATCTGTGATTAGATAAATTATGCCATTGGATGGTGGAGAAACAAGTCTGAACTTTTATATAGGCCTCTTTTCTCAGGCAACTCAGAGCACTATTCTTACCCAGCAGTGAGCTGCTGGTGGATCACTCCACTAATGCAAAAATTCTCTAATTAGGAACAGATCCCAGGTGGTGAAACCTTAGTGTCTCTCCCTGATTATCAGGAAGGTTTTGTGGCTGTACATGGCTGCTTTATTTCCACAGGGCTTGGGAACAGATGACAACACACTGATCCGAGTGATGGTGTCCCGCTCCGAGATAGACATGCTGGATATCAGGAGGGAATTCCTGACCATGTATGGGAAATCACTCTACTCCTTCATTAAGGTAAGGGCTTCAGCACTGGAAACAGGGCTGGATATGCTCAGCACCCCAAAGGAGGCAGGTCTTCACTTGGATATTTGAGGCGGTAGAATTAAGGGGACTCCACATTTATACACTGAAAATGTTCCTGGATGTTCCTAGTTCTTCAGCTGTTGAAAAGGGTACAAACCCTGCAGCAAAGTGCATGTGCTGGGAAGAACCCAGCCTTGTACAGGGCTGTAAAACTAATGCTGTTTCTTTCTCCTTTCTAGGGAGACTGCTCTGGAGACTACAGGAAGGTGCTGCTCAGGCTCTGCGGTGGGGAGGATTAGGGGGTGCCTGGTGTGCTGCCTGGACGCAGCTGATCAGAAGGATTTCTCCCTTCCTAAATTTTTCCCAAGTATCTTACTCATTGCTAAGAGCATTGACTTAGGTTAGTTAGTGCTCTGGTTAGATAATGGCCATTCCAGCTGATCCTTTTGATAAGCTTTTATGCTTGAACACCCATTGGTCTCCACTTTGGGCTAGGAAGGCCCATCTTAAACAGAATGCTGAAACCAAATATGTAAACGTTTAAGTGCTTCCTGACAAGCAGTGCCTTTGCCATCCCATTCACCAGGAAAACTTACCAGCTGAAGCAAACTGGGATGTAGAACTTGAGGGGCTGCACAGGGGAAACAAACCTTAGCAGCACCTGGCAAGTGCAGAAGGCAGGCTTGCTTCAGCCTTTGCAAGGTAATTAACACACAAATCAATAATAACCCTAAAATACATGCACAGTTAGCTCTTAAGTTGCCCTCTGTTAGTGTGGAGCATTAACAGCCTTGCTGCACTTCATGTATATGTAGGTCTCTAGGTAAGGAAGATGTCACTGGTGATGTCAGAAAAAAAATATTGATTGCTGCCCTGGTAACAGGTCAGCCCTCTGTTCTTGATCTGCCTTCCTTGATTTGTGGGAGTAGAAATCATCAGGTTTCTATTAGAAAACCTTTGGATAGAGTGATGTCATTTGAATGGTGCCTTTTAAGGAATGATCTGTCCCCAAAAACGCATCTCCTCAGCACTACCTGACGCCTTGGACCAGGGTGCTTGGCACTGGAGTAGCTCAGCAGGTCTCCTAAGGTGGCTGGAGCCCTGTGGAACACCTCCCTTAGAGGGTCCAGCTGCTGTGCCTGTGCCTCACCTCGCCTTCCACACCAACTCTGACAGGCATTTCCCCCCAGCCAACCCTACAGACCTGGGTGCTAAGCTGAGAGTTGTTTTCACTACTAAAATGTGGTTCTTGTTTGGCTTAGCAATTTTTTTCTTTAAGCTGTTGGTATATAATCCTGTCTTGAAGGCATTGGACTGAGGTTAGAATTTGAAGGCACAAATGCTAATATAGCCTACACCCAGTTCTGTCACTCATTGTCTTCTAAATTATGCCACTGTTGGCTTGAATAGAAGATAGTTCTGAGGCCTTGAAATAATTTTCTTTCTTGCTGTCTGTGCTGTAGCTGGAGATACATTCCTTAGTTTGGGTGGGATAGGAGGCAGAGCTTTTTCCAGTTCTGCTGAAGCCTTCTGATCTCTGAAAGAAAAATTCTTACCCAGTACAACAGATGCACTCAGGCTTGCTTTTCTGTGTAAATGCCTTGTGTAATGTTGCTGATTTTCTAAAAATGAATAAACAGTTTGTTTCTGTACCTTCTAGGTGCCTCTATCTCCTTAAGGAGGGGCAAAGCCATTGCCCTCAGCACCTGAAGATGCTGTAGGAATTAGAAATGGCTTATAATGGTTTATACAATCCCCTGTCCTTCCTGTGTCTGAGGAAGTCACGGGGGGTGAGGGAAATCATGGTGGTGGGGGCATATATGGGGTGGGGACAACCCTGCACACCCCAGCTGCTGCGGATGCGTTGCTGTTGCTGGTCCCACCAGCAGCTCAATATCCCAGAGCGTTCCCCTCGGTCGGGCGTTGACGGGTGAGGGCTGCAGTGAGGCAGGGGCACCACGCTGGGCTGAGTTATTGCTGCTTCAGGCACCACTGGAGGGACCCTACTGGAGAGTGGGAAGGCTCTTCGATGGGCTGAGGCTGATGGGATGAGGTTCAGCAAGGCCAAGCGTGGGCTCCTGCACTGGGGTCACAACCCCCTGCAATGCTCCAGGCTGGGGAAAGAGAGGATGGAAACGGTCCAGCAGAAAATGACCTGGAAGTGTTGATCAGCAGCTGGCTAGAGATGAGCCAGCATGTACCCAGGTGGTCCAAAAGGCCACCAGCATCTTGGCTTGAGTCAGCTCTAATGTGGCCAGCAGGAGCAGGGCTGGGATTGACCCCTTGGACTGCGCACAAGGAAGGTCCTGGGTTCAGTTTTGGGCCCCT